TTCTGCAAATTCCAGTGGTTCATTCCCACCTGATGGAGCTTACTACGAGCTCATATCGGACGGTAGCAACGCATTAGTGCTGCGAGAAGAAACAATCGACAATTTAGACTATGAATCGCAGCTCAGCTACTTGTCGAATGACTCAAAGCCGTGCCAAACTTGCCTCAATTCGATGAACCGCATCTGCATTGTCATTGATTAAGCGCCACCTCCAAAGCCACTGATAAATTTCTCAAGAGATGAGCAAAATTATGTTCCTTCCTGAAAAAACGCAGCCAGCATGGTTGAAGCTGCTTGGAGCCATATAGTGTCATTCTCTTTCTTTGAGAGTTAGTTTTCAGTCTTGACTAAACAACATAGCGGAAAATCGTTGTTGTGTTTTTACAACTGACTGGGACATATCTTGTTTCATTGCAAAAATAATCAGCTCCTATCAAAAGCAATATTTCGTGGAAGACTTCAAAACTTCAGAACGAAAAGAGGGACATATGTTACACAAATTTTGAGATGCATTTCTCGCTTTAGTTTTTGTCACTAATGACGTATTACTCGCTCTTATTTTAGACTATGAAAAGAAAGTTAGACAGAGATAAAATCAAAGCAATCATCATTCTTAGGTTAAAAATGGACCGCAAAACAGCACAGATGAGTCGCAACGTCATAAGCACATTTGGCCTTGAAACTGTTGACAAACGTATTGCACGAACCCAGTGGTGGCTCAAAAGCTTCGTGAAGCAAAGAAAAATTTTTCAAGACAAGGAACGTAGAGGTCGTGAATGGACTGTTGACAACGATCAATTGAGATCTGCCATCAATCTTTCTTCGACACAACTGTATACATCTGATAGCAACCAACCGTCAACGGTTTGGGCTGACAAGTCGATATCCCCATTAAAGCCACCCACGGTGATAGATAGTAGATATATACAAGAGTAAAGAATCCATGAATAATATTGAAAAAATTGCGGTTCAAACAATGAACTGCGAAATAACACTATATACTGGTAACATATTTTAAGCTTTTCATGAGGCCTGTTATGGCACTTATACACTGCAAGACACGTGTTTTGGAAATACATCATCGTCAGTTCCACAGTAGATTCGGTTCAATGAGTTCTTTACAAAAAGATATCTCCTACATAGACTGACGACATACGTTTTACCAGCCGCGAACAATCGACTGTACAACACTGGCCTTTGAGTGATTGCCAGGGTATATCTCCTCGCAAAATCTGGCCAAACTGAAAGGCTCCGTACAATTGACGAGGCTGTGATGCCGAAACACGTGTCTTGCCCTGTATAAGCGTCATGACAGACCTCATGAAAGGCTCAAAAAATGTTATCAGATTACAGTGTTTTAAGCGAGGTCTCAAACCAGTCGAAAAGGAAAGTATGGAAATAATATTAATATGACAGATTCGTGTAGCCAGTAGTTAGAGGAGTTCCGCAACACTAACGTGGTCGATGTTTCGATCTCGCGTCTATGCTCATCAAACCTTGCATCCATACGGAATCGGTGATCTCTTATCGATTCATTTGAGACAATAGTAGCACTAACTCACTAAATTGCCAAGCCACCGTGAGTCATTGTAAAGGTCAGATATGCATTAAATTACCTTAAAAGAAGCTAGAAATTGAAGACGAAAGCATTGTACCTTGCATCGGGGTTGATCAATGGCGAGAACTTTATTTATCCTTTATCCTTTCTATATCGTCGTTGGAACCATAAGGAAAAATATCAGTCAGTTGTCCTAAAACTCAAAACTCAATTGGTTCCCTTCCGATCTTTTGTTGTCGTTCTCACTACGCTCCAGACTTGATTTCTAATTCAAGAAGTGCTGCGGCCTGAAGTTATATTCTATGACCTGTTTACCTTGAGGCCACCAGAGCTTCAAGCCAGCGGAATACATACGCTTGCTTTTGATTCAGAATCAATATAAATGTTAGCATTTTAATAAGTATTTTCTAATAAATAACAATCCTACTAGTAGAAATTTCTTTATAGAGCTTAGATATGCTGCTTTGAAAAGCGCGTCGAAATCGTGTATGAATTTTCAAACGACTTAATAGCTAATACCGTTCATACCGTTCATGAGCTGACCGATTTTGTAATACATACGATGTTTACACGGAGAGGTGCTTGATATATAACCTCTTTCAGCGATCAAAGCCCATGTAGCACTAATTTTAGCTGCTGTTGACTAGGAGCTGCAACTGAACATTTCATTAAATTTTTGATGTCGCGATTTCTTAACTTATTATGATGTTCTTTATGTGCGATTGGAGAGATACGACATGTTAATCAAACAGTGCTTTTCTTACTTGTGTTTGATCAAACCATGCTGAGAAAAAGCCCATGGAGGTGTGGAATTCCTCTACGTAGAGACCATTGGTAAGTGAACTCCTTTTTAAACTTTGTTTAAACTTTTTGCACTATAATGACAAGGTTCGCCGTAAGAACAAAAAGCTGATAATGCAGCTTAACATTTCACAACATACTTCTTAGCTTACTATGAACTTGATTCTTTCAAATGTGGTGAAATTTTGAGTGGCAGATAAAGCTGGAGTAGTTTAACTTTTTAAATAAACGGAAGATTTGTATATAGTCAAATCTGAAAGAGAATAAAAATTAATGAAAAACACTGGGTAATCACCTACCCCTACCATACTATAAAGAAAGAGAATTTCATCTGGATTTAATGTTAATAAATCAACGACGATCTATGAAACAGCGAACAAATACGACTAGCAATTTTGACGTTTTCCACATGACATGAATCGAAATAATTTCGAAGCAGTTATGTTTTCGCTTCTTGCTGATGAAAGCAAAACTGTATAATCGAATTTTGCTTACGTGAATGGACTTATCCTCCAGGCAACCGTGCGTCCAAATTTCTGTGCTCATAGTTTTTTAGTTTTGGCACTTTCATAATGTTTTTAAAACCTTATGAGTTATTCGAGCTACTTTCCAATTTTGTTCGCTGAAAGGTAGAGCGATAACCAATTAAAATGTGAGAATGTCTAAAGCATTACCAAGGTTGTTACATCAGAGCCATACTTAAGTTTCGGTGGCGTCACCTTCTTCATCAGTGGCGCGGGCAGACTTGAGAAGCTTGAGGGAAGGAAAATCATGCCTCACATAGAAGTGATGCTTGGATTCGTCTTATTTTTTGTGATTCGTCAAAATGGTCATCAAATATTCAGGTTCCGATGGCATCGTTTGACATATTAAACACCCTGTTTCATAACAATGATAAAGAGACAAGGTAGGTAATAGGATGTGTCCTATGACTGAGGTGGGACTCAAATTTATTTCCATCTAATGAACTCCTCCCCCCCCCCCCCTTAATCAAAGAGGCGGGAACAATAAGAATTACATTTATGATACAGACTTTCAACACCACTGTCTCGCTAAGCTGTCTATCCCAAGTAATCGACTAATTTAACCTAAATTTGACTTGTGTTTGAGTGTTATTTTATTTGTAGTATTAAGGCTTTATATGATTTTTAATGACCTTATGTCATTTCCTTTCCATGACACTGAAAACGTCTTCCAAGTTTATTGTTTTGTGGAATCGATGCTAATAACATCAAGGCTTTTGTGGAAATTTCTATTACCGGCTTGAGTGAATGTAATCCAGAGAGCATGGTTCACTAACGATTTTTTTGAGAATCAATCGTTTCATCGATTTGGTCATGATTTGTAAGTTAGTAATCTGTAAAACATTTTTCCCATTACATTATGAAACAAATGATTTGACTTCACATCTATCACAATGCACGGTATCCTAGCACTTCCCGCGCTCGATTGTTTTCCTACAACGACCATCCACGAAGACCTCAAGAAGTCTCTTCTCTGCGCGTGGTTGGGTCCGGCCATTAGATTAAAGGTTATTGCTCTTGTCCAAACTAGTATGATATTTTGACTCATTTCTTAATGGATCATTGCTTAATCATTTACTCGTGGCACAAAAGGTAGTCGTAAAATGTTTTAGCTTCTATCTCAAAACGAGACTGTATAAATTTTTATTACCATGCCACTTTCTTTGCCTTTTAAAATAACCTTCACTCAATATACTTTCCATAGTTGTAAACGATAATTTTTGCACTTCAAGTCCTTTATTGATCTCCTTTCGAAACACATAATAAGTGTCTATTTGTACTAAGATTGGCTAATGCGCCAATGATAATAGCTTGCATAAATTCGACACCTTTGTGGCCGACGTTCAATTCTTTCAGTTCAGTGAGCTGCAATCATCTTCAACCAATTGTTCATTTTCCTACGGTTACTCAACGGTTTTCAGTGATGCGACAACCACTGCTTTGCAATCCCCTTGCCTCAACATATGTCAAGGTATGTTCTCTTTCATATTGATAAAAATATACTATATTTTTTGTCAAAAGATCAAATCCTTGCCCTCGCCCTTGCAAAAGTGGAATTGAATCGAGTTATCACCAAAAGACAATGGAGTGTTGAAGAATGTTTCAGTAACTAGAGCAAACACTTAGATACAACCGAAGCGCCATCGCTCGCCATTAAAATGAAATCAGACACCGCAGTTGAATATTACGATGGACACCTCAAGCATTAACTGACCACAACACTGTCCAAAATCACTCGCCACATTTTGGATAAACTGATCTGTGCCACAGTATCACATTCACCGTTTAGCCCTGATATTGCTCCACTATTTACAGGCTTAAAAGTGACTTCAGCAATTTCTTTGATCCCACCTCACTTCTTTCGGAGGGAAATGGTCCACATACTGCTCAACAAGTGGTATCCTAATGATCATGATGATGATCATATTATTGATCGAGTTTCTTTGATATCTTCAAACATATAACAATCAAATTAACAAAGGTGTCGAGGTGCGAAAGAAATTATGTTTCAACCCAATTTTGATACTAATACTCGGAATTAATAGTATTTCAATGCATTTCGCATTGTTATAATGTTTTCTACACACCCAAAAAAACTGAGTGGTAAGCAAAAACGCGGCCTTAGCTGGGAATCGAACCCGCGTTTCATCCTATCCGGGACGCGTGCTCTACCACTGCACCACTAAGGCACATTTCCCGACCACTCATTCTTTAACATCTCAATGTTAGCTACCAACCACCTACCCCCATTTGCCATCAGCCAATCTTAATAATAAAAATAGCACTGATAACATTGTCTTTTTTCCCGTCAACGATATAAAGGTCGTGATAAAAGCTTAGCTTGCAGAGAGCATTTTTTAGGATTTTCAAATCTGTCAAGTGCTAAGAACATCGTCGTAGGGGTTCAATCAAAGCGTAAGAAAGCATTATGCTGCTCATTCTACTAATCTCGACAAGTCAATATTTGTGAACTTCTTCTCTTTCGCTAAATTTTCTCCTCGTAAACCTTCGCTAGAAACTTCGTGAGCTGAATGTAGAAAAAAAATTATTCTATAATTCTTTTACAGGAAATTGGGAAATTTTGTTGAATGAAAAAATATTTCTAAGTGAATGACGAAAATCGCACCACACTGAAATTACGTGCTCCTTCAAGACGGTACAACGAATCGCTTCACAGCATTATTAGACAGGCCCGCGATTTTTGTTATTTGCATTAAATTTTTTCTATTTCCAAAAAAAATTTCACATTTTCTAGTAAAATTGTTGAAAATACTTTGACATATCGTTCTTGTCGACAAGTTGACCTTCGTCAGCGTTATACTGTTTTTACAAACCCGCGTTGGATACGACGCAGCGATAGAGCATTCTTGAAAGTCCTGGGAGAGTTGGTTGTCCATCGTCAGTAATCACTTCAATTTTTTGTCATATCCATATTCGTCGTTATTGTTGTTATTATCGTCGTGCCAATAGTGCTATTATGTAGCTAAAAGTCCAATTATTCAAAATTAAGGTAAGAGTCGGTAGATTTCTTTTCTACGTAACTTCTTGACTCCTGTCCTTCTTCCTCTTCACGGTAATTCTTCTCCTCGGTTTTCTCTCATATTTTTGGGCTTCTTAGTCTCCGCACTTCTTTTCTATCCTTCCCTCCCTTTCGCGTTTCTCCGTCGCCGTTCCCCTTCTCTCTTTTTAGGATTCTTTTCCGCGTTATCACTAATTTTCCGTCACCGCACATCATCCTCACGCTTCTTCTTCTTCTTTCGGCTCCTACCTGTCCGCATTTCATCTCTCTTTGCGCTTCTTTTACCTCTTCGTGCTCCTTCTCTTCTTTACGCGTCATCTCCTCGCTTCATTGTGCTCTTCGCGTCTCTTATGTGCACTGCTTTTTCCTCTTCGTGCTTCCTCTAGAGAGAGAAGTTGCACAGAAAAGAAAGTCGAGAGAAAGCTCTTTATTTGTACCCTCTCTTTTTGATTACCGTGCTTTCCGCATGCTTATTCTTTCTCATAGCTTTTTTTGATCGCACTCTTCTTCCGTGCGCTGCTTCTTCGCGCTTCTCGTCGCGCTCCTGCTCCTTCTCTGAACTTTTTCGTGGCGCTTCCCTTTCTTCTGCGCTTTTTTGATGTGGGACGGAGGAATGGATTGGAGGACGCTGTCCCACTTTCTTGTCTTCACACCCTTCCGCGTTCTTCTCTTTCTGTTCTTCTTTTCTTTTCTTCTTTCTTTTTTCGATTTTTTTCGCACTTCTGCTTCCCCTGCCTCCTTGTTACTCTTCGCTCTTCTTGATTTTCGTGATGAGTTCTCTCCTGGCTTCTTCCTTCTCTTTGCGCTTCTCTCTGCGCTTCTTCCCCGCGATATTTCTTCTGCGCGCTTTTTTTCCCCTCCGCACATCTTTCTTGCATTATCTGTTCTTCTTCACGCCTCCTACCTAAGCTTCTCCCTAATCTTCGCGCTTCCTCCCCTCTGCGCTTCTTCCTCGCGCTTTTCTCTCCCGCGTTGTTTTTTCATCTTAGCACATCCTGCCTGCACTCTTCTGCCTATTTGTGCATATTCCTTCCGCTTTTTCCCCTCATTTCTGCTTCCCGAGCTCCTTCTTCTTCTTTCGCTTGTTTTCTCACGCTTCTTCTTCCTTTTTGCGCTACTTTTTTTCTCTTGGCACTCTTGTGCTTACTTCTTCGCGCGCTCCTTTCTTGCTTGTCGCTCTCCCTGTGCGCATATTCTCTCTCTTCGCGCTTTTCTCAGCGCTGCTTCCCTCTCTTTCCCTCTTCACGCTTCTCTTGGATCTTCCCCGCTTTATTTATTTCTCGTGCTTGTTCTCTGTTTTACTTGTTTCTCCGTGTGCTTTGTTCCCACGCTTCTCCTTCCTCTTTGCGATATTTTTCGCCCTTCGCGTTTTCGCGCTTGTTCATTCTCATGTTGCTTTCTTTTGTTTGCCGACCTTTAAGAAGCGCAAAGAGGAATAAGGAAGCACAAGGAAGAAGCACAAACGGAAATCGAACGGACGCTGAGAGACAGAAGCGCGAAGAAGAAGAAGAAGCATAGGGAGCGAGAAGAAAGGCGAAGTTGTAGAAGGTGCGAAGAAAAAGAAACGAGAGGAGCGAGCGTTAAGAGGAAGAAGTAGTGGAGGGAAGAAGCGCGAAGAAGCAAAAGGACCGCGGAGAAGAAATAACGAGGGAAAGAACATGAAAAGAGAGGAGAGCGGCGACGGAGAAGCGTAAAAGCGCGAAGGAGGGGGGGGGGGGGGGAGGGGGAAGGGGGAAGCAGCGCAGTGAATAAAAAGTGCGAAGAGAGATAACAAGCGCACAGAAAGAGCGAGAAGCAAGAAAAGAGCGCGAAGGGAAAAAGTAGAACAAAGGAGGAAGAACTGTTGGGAGTAAGCCCAAGGAGGAAGAAGGAGCTCAAAGGCAAAGTGAGAGGAAGAGCCGTGAGAAAAAGGCACGAAGAGGAAGAAGTAGCGAGTGAGGAAAAGCGAAGAGAGGTAGGAAGCATGTGGGAGAATCTACGCGGTGAAGAAGCGCAAAGCGAGAGGAGAAGCGCAGAGCGATAGAAGGCCGGAGAAAAGAAGTGTGTGGGAGAAGCTTGAAGAAGAAGAGGTAGTGTATAAAAGAAGTGCGAATGGGGAAAAATCGCGGGGAGGCAATCCCAAGAGAAATAAATAGTGCAGGGAAGAAGCGGAATGAAGGAAAAGAAGTGCGTGAAAGAAAGAAGGCGGTTAGCAAACGGAACGAGAGAGAAGAAGCGCGACGAAATAGAAGCGCGGAGAAGAAGAATGGAGATGCAGTGCGAGGAGATAGGAGTGGTGAAAGGAAGAAGCGCGGGGAAGAAATAATGCGTAGGTGAAGCGCAAAGAGAAGCGCGAAGAAATTGGAGTAGCGCGCAGAAGAAAAAGCGCGATCAGAAAGTGCGAGGAGAGAGAATGAGTGAGCAGAAAACGCGCTAAGCAAAAGAAACCAGCATGCAAATAGAGAAGCGCGAGAGCGCCAAGGTAGAAAACTAGCGCAAAGAGGACGAAGAGCCATGGGAAGTAAGCGTAAGGCGAAAGAATGTGCTTGTGGAAGCAGAAGTGAGAGGTAAAAGCCTGAGTGAAAAGCGCGAAGAGAAAGAAGCAGTGCAGGGAAAATGTGCGAAGATGAAATTGAAAGGCGGGAAAGAAAAATGCGAGGAGGAAAGGAAGACAGAAAAGGTGCGTGGAAAGATAGAAGCTCGAAGCCGAGCAATGACCGTGTAGAGGAAGCGCGAACAGGAAGAAGTACTGCAAGGAAAAAACGCGAAGGGGGTAAAAAACGTGGAATAGAAATAACGCGGGTGCGAAGAGTAAAGAGAAGTACGAACAGGAGGAAGCAGCGTCGAGAAGAAATAGCGTGATCAGAAAGCGCGAGTAGAGAGCAGCTACCTCGCGCTTCTTCCCTCCAGCGCCATACGTTTTGGCGTTCTTTCCTCCTCTTTACGGTTCTTCCTCCACGCCCTCTCTTGTTTCTTCTTTCCAACATATCCTCTTCGTCTTCGCGGTGCTCTTTCCCTTTGTGCTTTCCTGGATCTTCGTTCGCGCTCTTTTCTTACTTTTCACCCTTTCTGCGCGCCTATTCTTTCTATTCGCACTCTCTGATCGCGTTTTTCTCTACGACGCTTCCACCTCTTCGCGCTCCGTCTTCGTCCTTGCTGTTCTTTCCCAGTCACATTGTTGCTCATCGCATAACTTCTTTCTCTTTGCGATCTCGCGCTTCCTCATTCGTGCGCTCTCTTTTTTGCTTCCCCATTCTTTCTGCTCGCTTATTATCTTCCTTCGCCCTTCCTTATCACGCTTATTCTTCTATGCGTTGCTTCGTTCTCTTAGCGCTATCACCTCCCCGTGCTCCTCTCTCGTGGATGCGCGAAAGTAAGAATACAACACAAATAAGGTGCTCTTCACTGACGCGCTCTCTTTTCTTTCCCGCTTTCTCTGCTCGTTTTCTCCTCCGCTATGCGTTTCTGGTCACGCTTTCTCTTTTCTGCTCTGCTTCCTCCTCTTCGTACTTTTTCTCGCCGCACTCCTTCTTTTTTGAGCTTCTTCCTAACGCTTCCCCTTCTTTTTTGCGCCTTCTCTGTTGGCGCGAAGGGAGCGGAGTGTGGTGCCCTAGAGTTTTTCTCTATCCACGCTTTTTCGTCGCTGCTTTCTCTTCTAGATTACCTTCTTTTTCGCCTTTTTTCTTCTTCGCGCTACCTCCTCATCTTCACGCTTCCACCTTTCCGCCCTCCTTCTCTCTCGAGTATTCGTGAGAAGGAAGAAGTGGCGCGCGCAAGAAGCTGTTCTTTGGTGCGCTCTCTTTTTTGCTTCGAGCTTCTTCTGCTCTCCTGCTCTTCCTTAAAGCTCTTTCTCGTCGCCCTTCTTGTTCTCTGCGCAGCTTTCTCATCCTAGCTCTTCTACCTTTCCGCGCTCATTCATACTCGAGGTAGCTCGATAAGGAAAGAGCAGTGCGGCAAAGATGCTCTTTTTTAGCGCGTTTTTAGTTCGTGGCATCTGTCTGGAAGAAATCATTCGTAATATTGCTGATCCTCGAGCTGTGTCTTTTCTATGTTATGATCACAACTCAGTGTTTAGAAAAACAAATTTAAATTATTTCTTTCTAATGTGAAATGCGAAAGACGCAAAAGCTTTCCCTCACACAATAGAAAATATTTCAATATTCTCTCGCTAAACTTGTTCTATTTCCTTGG